TTGGAAGTCCTAGCCAGAGCAATCAGGCAAGAGAGAAACAAAAGGCATGCACATTGGAAATGAAGAAGTTAAATTATCGCTGTTTGCAGATGACATGATTCTTTATATAGAAAACCTCAAAGACTCCACCAAAAAACAATTAGAAACAATAAACAAATACAGTAAAGTTGCAGGAAACAAAATCAATGTACAAAAACCCATTGCTTCCCTATATACCAGCAATGAAATTTCAGAAAAAGAAATTTTTAAAAATTCCTTTTGCAATTGCAACAAAAAAAATAATATGCCTAGGAGTAAACTTAATAAATGATGTGAAGAACCTGTATACTAAAAACGTTATTAAAAAAAAACTGAAGTAGACATAATGAAATGGGAAGATAGTCCATGTTCATGGATTGGAAGAAACGTGGTTAAAATAGCCATATTAATCAAAGCAATATACAAAATTAATTGCATTCCCCACCAAAATCCCAATGGCATTTTTTAAAGAAATAGAACCAACAAATCATCATATTTGTATGGAATCACAAAAAAAACTTCAAATAGCCAAAGCAATCCTAAGAAAAAAGAACAAGGCTGGAGGTATCACACTCCCTGGCTTCTACTTCTACTACAGGTCAACAATAATCAAAACAGTATGGTATTGGCAAAAAAACAGACACACAGACCAATGGAATAGAATTAATAACCCAGAAATAAACCCACATATGTATGAGCAAATAATTTTCAACAAAGTAGCCAAAAACATATAATGGAAGAAGAAAAAAACCTCTTCAGTAAATGGTGCTGGGAAAATTGGAAAATCACATGCAAAAGAACGAAACTAGACTGCTATCTCTCATCATATATCAAAATTAATTCAAAATGGATCAAAGATCTAAATATAAGACCTGAAACAATTAACTGCATAGAAGAAAACATAGGTACTAAACTAATGGGCCTTGGGTTCAGAGAGGATTTTATGAATTTGACCTTAAAGGCAAGGGAAGTGAAAGCTACAATAAATGAACGGGACCATATCAAACTGAAACGCTTCTGCAACAGCAAAAGAAACCATCAACAAAACAAAGAGGCAACCAAGCAAATGGGAGAAGATATTTATGAATAACACACCCAGTATATGGCTAATATCTAAAATATATAAAAACTCATACAACTCAACAACAAAAAGAAAAAAAATCCAATTGAAAAATGGGCAGAGGTCCTGAACAGACACTTCTCCCAACAAGACTTACAAACAGCCAACAGATATGTGAAAAATGCTCAACTTCACTAACAATTAGAGAAATGCAAATCAAAACCACAATGAAGGCCAGCCGAGTAGCGCGTTGGTTAAGAGCTGGCTTGGGACACCAGAGGGCCCCAGTTCGGATCCCACATACGAGGGCCAGTGACACTGCCCTCTACAGCTAAGATGCTGAACAACAGCTCAACCTGGAGCTGGACTGCCATGAGTCGCTGGCGACGGTGTAGGCTACAGCCACTGCTGCAGTGGGTTGCCATGGGCTACCGTGTGTAGCCAGCAGCCAGCAGCCAGCGTGAGCGGCCGGCAGCCGCAGTGAGCGGCTGTCCAGAAGCCGGTGACTGATCTGTCTCGCCTGGGAAGAGCACAATGATGGTGCCAACTTGGGCCAGTGAAGCAACGTCCTCCACAACTAGACTGAAGAATAAAAGGACAGCAACTTGTCTGTTCCCCTTACCCCAATTCCCCAGTGCTGTTCCCATCCCCCAATTCCGCAATAAATAAATAAAAAACCTTTAAAAAAAACCAACAAAAATACAATAATGAGATGTCATCTCACACCTGTTAGAATGGCTATCATAAACACAACAAGTAATAACAAGTGTTAGAGAGGCTGTGGAGAAAAATAAACCCTCATAAACTGCTGGTGGGAATGTAAAATGGTACAGCCACTGTGAAAAACAGTATGGAGGTTTCTCAAAACCTCATGACTAGAATTACCATATAACCCAGCAATCCCTCTCCTGGGTATCTATCCAAAACAACCTGAAGACTTTTACCCATAAAGATATACAAGGTCTGACAAAGTTCGCAAACTTGTTGCAATGATGTTGCTAACCATTTTTTATATCAGAGGGATTATTCATTATGAATTTGTACCAACTGAACAAACAGTTAACCAACTTTTTTGTGGCAGTGCTGACATGCTGCATGAAAAAGATGACCTGAACTTTTTGCCAACAATTCATAGCTCTTGCATCATGACAATGCACCAGCTCACACGGCACTGTCTGTGAGGGAGTTTTTAGCCAGTAAACAAGTAACTGTATTGGAACACCCTCCCTACTCACCTGATCTGGCCCTCAATGACTTCTTTCTTTACCTAAAGATAAAAGAAATATTGAAAGGGAGACATTTTGATGACATTCAGGACATCAAGGGTAATATGACAACAGCTCTGATGGTCATTCCAGAAAAAGAGTTCCAAAATTGCTTTGAAGGGTGGACTAGGTGCTGGCATCAGTGCATAGCTTTCCAAGGGGAGTACTTTGAAGGTGACAATAGTGATATTCAGCAATGAGGTATGTAGCACTTTTTCTAGGATGAGTTCACGAACTCAATTGTCAGACCTCGTATGTACCCTATGTTCATTGCAGCATTATTCATGATGGCCAAGACATGGAAATAACCAAAGTGTCCTTCAATAGATGATTGGATAAGGAAGATGTGTACCTATATACAATGGAATATTAGCCAAAAGAAAAGATGAAATACTGCCATTTGCAACAACATGGGTGTATCTTGAGATTATCATGCTAAGTGAAATAAGTCAGACAGAAAAAGTCAAGAACCATATGACTTCACTTATATGTGGGATATAAAACTGAAAGCAACAAATGAACAAGGCCAACAAACAAACAGAAACTCATAGACCCAGACAACAATTTAGTGGTTACCAGAGGTTATGGGGGAGGGGGGAAGTAGAGGAGGGTAAAAAGGGTCAAATATATGGTGACTCAGTGGTGAACACACAATACAATATATAAATGATGTATTATAGAACTGTACACTTGCAAAATAAGTATTGTACACTTGAAACTTATACAATTTTACTAACCAATATCAGCCTGATAAATTTATTTATTTTTTCAATAGTAAAAGGAAGAAGTGGGAAGACGGTGGATTATGTAAATGCTATGTCTACTGCATCCCAGGATCACACCAAAATTTCAAATAAATTATAGAACAATCAGCCTCAAGATTTATCTGAACACTAGCTGAACACAACCACAATAACTAAGGATATAAAGAAGAGGCCACGTTGAGACTGATAGAGGGAGAGATGGGAAATAGACCTCAAACCCACAGAGAGAGCTTGAATGCCAGGAGGGAAACCTCTCTGGCAAAGGGCCCCCTGAAGAGGGAGGGTCCCCCAGCTTCATGCTGGGCTCTCCAGCCCAGGGGTCTTGTACTGGGAAGAGGAGTTCCCATGGCACCTGGTTGTGAAAATCAGCAAGGACTCTGTCTGCCCTTTCCAATGGGGCAGAAGTTGGCTGGAAACCCAGACACACACTTGTAGAGCCAGCACAGACTCACTCACTGCTGGCACTCACCTGGTCTCTGGTGGAGGGAGTGGCAGCTCAGGAAGCTCAGGGACATGCTGGGAAGGATTGAACTGAGTGCTTTGGCATGGGAACTGGAGGGACGGGAGCCATTATTGTCCCTGTGTGGATCCTTGCACGCATGTGGTCTACAGGAGGACACCATCTTTTCAGGAGTAAGCCCTCCCCCAAAGGGCCAATTCTGGAACCACGTTGGTCTGGTAGAATTTGCACAGGTGCACTGCCTTGGTGATGCCCTGGGTCCCCGCCCTCCACACAGCTGGTGCTACATTGCCTGGGAAACTCTTGACTGCTGAGCTGCTGTCTGCACCTCACAGGCTGCAGATTAAAGTAAACAGAGGGCCTGTGGTGGCTGAGAAACGTTTGCTGGAAGGCTTAAGCTAGAACCTGTGCCAATACAGCATAGACAGGGGGTTGGCAGGCCTGAGACAGGCCGTGGCTGGTCATAGTGTTCGCAGGGCACTTTTGCAGGGTGATCATGAGCCCAGCACTGCTCCAGAAACAGAGATTATACTGAATTTGTAGAAACCACTGACCACACCCCTTAGGTCCCTGGAACCCCATACCACCCATCTTGAGCTGCATTGTCAGGGACACACTGGGTACCTGGGTGGCCAGCCCCACCCCTACAAGCCATGGAGGAAGTTCTTTACAGCGGTGGACAATCCACAATGGCCTGGGGAGATTTTGGTGGTGGACAGTGACCCAAAAACTGCACAGCAGCCACTTGGGGACAGCTCTCAGGAATTTGTGAAGCTGGGGTGGTGGCTGGCTGCAGTGTTCTTGGGGCATTCAAGCTGAGGGGCATTCATGAGCTGTCGTGAGCCTCCGTGAGTGGCTGTCCAGTGGCCAACGACCGATTGCCTCACCCAGGAAGAACGCAATGATAATACCAACATGGGCCAGTGACGTGACATCTTCCACAACTAGACTGAAGGACAAAAGGACAGCAACTTGTCTGTTCCCCTTCCCCGATTCCCCAATGCTGTTTCCCTCCCCCAACTCCCCAATAAAAATCTTTAAAAATAATAATAATAACCAGCTTAAAATAACCAATATTCCAAAAGGCATATTTTGGGGTGGCAAACTCTGCTTCTCTTCACTAATTAGTTAATCTATGTTTTACATCAGCCACCTTTACATTCAACCTGTAAGTCTGTGAAGCTCCATCTATTTTCCAGCACATTCATGGCTTCTTCACTCTCATTAGACCACATTTTACCAGGAGGAACAGGGGAAGAAAAGGGGCTGCTGGTGGTGATGTACCTTGGAAAGAGAGGCTGGGTGAGAGAAAAAGGAATAGAAAAGTCCACCTGGTATGACCTGACAAGTACCCAGGATGAGTTTTCATAAAACAGATTAGAACACACTGGTCTGACAGCTCTTATCTCTCTAGGTCCAAACAAGAACAGACCATGGTCAACCAAAGTTCCCCAGGGAACTTGCTCCTGCATTTCTCTGCATATCTGGGGCTTGAAAGAATCCTCTTCATGGTTGTCTTGATTTCTTACCTCCTGACTCTGGTGGGCAACACACTCATCATCCCGCTGTCTGTGCTAAACCCCAGGCTTCACTCTCAAATGTACTTTATCCTCTCCAGCCTCTCCTTCTTGAACCTCTGCTTCACCACAAGCTGTGTCCCCCAGATGCTGGCCAACCTCTGGGTCCCAAAAAAGACCATCAGTTCCTTGGCTGCTCTGTTCAGCTCTTCATCTTCCTGTTCCTGGGGACCACTGAGTGCATCCTCCGGATAGTGATGGCTTTTGACTGCTACATGGCCATCTGCTAGCCCCTCAACTATGCCACCATCATTCACCCTTGCCTGTGCTGACAGCTAGCAGCTGTGGCCTGGGTCATTGGGTTGATCAAGTCAATGGTCCAGATAACACCCACTCTCTCCCTGCCTCTCTGCCCCCACCAGCAGGTGGATGCTTTTTCTGTGTGAGATCCCAACTTTAATTTGACTCTCTTGTGGGGACACCACCTAAAATGAAATCCAAATGACTGCTGCCATTGTCTTCATCTTGGTTGTGTCCCTCAGCCTCATCTCTGTTTTTTATGGTGCCATTGCCCATGCAGGGATGAGGATTAACTCTGCCAAAGAGTAGAGGAAGGCTTCTGGGACCTGCTCCTCTCACCTCACTGTGGTCACCCTCTTCTACAGCTCAGCCATTGCTGTCTACCTCCAGCCCCCAAATCCCTATGCCCAAGAAAGGGGCAAGTTCTTTGGTCTCTTGTATGCATTGAGCACTCCTTTACTTAACCCTCTCATCTGCACCCAAAGAACAGGAGGTAAAGAGGGAATTTAGGAGGTTGCTGGGGAGGGACAGGGACTCCAGGGAGGGCTGAAGGAGAGCTGCTTAATATGCTTTCAGATTGAGATGAGGCTCTGCATGATTTGTCAGGGGGTTTGTATTCCCCACATCTTTGCCTTCCTCATATCCATCATGTCACAGCAATGAATGATAGCCACGTGTGTGTCCATGTGTGTGCTTGTAAATATGTATGTGTGTGTGTAAGAGACAGACTGAAAAGATAGTAAGAAGAAAAACATATCTCTATATGAAACAGTGTATGAATCAAATTGAATATTTTCTATTTTCTTTATTTTATTTTTAATTGTCTTCCCCTTTAATGATGTGCCCAGTTTTATCATTTCTATTTCTATCTCATCTCCCTTGCTATATCATTACTATTTCTTTGCCTCCATTTCTAATTCCTACCATATCTTCTTTGCTTTTCCTTCAAGTTTTTCTACTTCCTTATGTGTCTGTTTTGCATTCTCATTCTATTTTGTCCCCCCAAATGACAGCAAGGAGGGGGGCAGCTGAAAGCGAGGTAAGTTCAGAAAGTCACCCAAGAACACACAATGTTAGAACTAAAATTCAGGCCCCATTAACTTCCAGTCAGGCAACCTCTCAAATATACTGTTGCTTTCAAGCTGTAATCAAATTTCTCAGTATCCGTAGGCTTGAAGCCAGATAAGAGCCTTAGGAAGAAAGTTCAATTTTTTTAGTCCTAATATTTCTCCTATTACAGCTGCTGCAAATCACTGGCAAACCCATTAGATTGACCAAAAGGTCTTATGTTTAGGCTGGCAGGACAATTTTGACAATGGCACCTTGGTGCCATCTACTAGCAAAATGTGGTATTGCATATGGCATCCCTGACTCATAACAATTATTTTATTGTTATTAAGTATTTATACAGTGATTATGATATTCCACATACAATTTAAAGTAGTTTACACACATTGGCTCATTTAATCCCTATAACAACACTATTAAACATAGAGTAATATTATCCCAGATACAGAAACTAAGCAAGACAGTTTAAATACCAGCTTTGAAATGTCAGAGATTTGGACCCAGGAGGACTGACTCAAGTCTCCATGCTGTTGGCAAAAATAGTGCCTCTCCAACCCAAGTAAGAAGTCTCAACCTCTCAATAAACTTTGAGAAAATCATCCCAATCTAGAAATCTCACAGCTAAAGGAGGTTTGCTTTCCTCAAATAAGGGTTTATTAAATGAATCAAAACATCCCATGGACACAAGAAACAATAGCCCACTTGGAAGGTTTGTTACAGCTCATGTTTTGTGTTCCTGGCTTAATTCCTCCACTGGATTTCATACTCCAAAAAGGTAAGAACCAGAATATTGCTGAGAATTGGCACACAATTAATTCTTTAAATTAATGAGTGAATAAATTAATCTTTCCAAAGAATGCACAAAGGGTTCTGGAGGTCCTAATCCCATAGTTGCTGTTTCCCAGCTTTTCCATGGCAATGGCAACAATACCAAATTTTCTTTGGGTACATGCTGATGAAATAAGGAAAAGAAAAATCCTAGCTTTATTCTAGACCCAACACAAAATGGCTGTGACTCACATTTACCCTGGCATCAGCACAGAACATCAGCTTAACTCTTTTTTTTTTTTGAGATTTTATTGGGGAATTGGGGGATTGGGGAAGGGAACAGCATTGGGGAATTGGGGAAGGGGAACAAACAAGTTGCCGTCCTTCTGTTCTTCAGTCTAGTTGTGGAGGAAGTTGCTTTACTGGCCCATGTTGGTATTGTGATCATTGTGCTCTTCCTGGCTGAGGCCGATTCATCGCTGGCCATTGGATGGCTGCTCATGGTGGCTCATGGCAGCTTACACTGGCTGCCAGCCACTCACAGTAGCTTACAGCAGCCCACTGCAGCCTACGCCATCTCCGGCCACTCATGGCAGCCCAGCTCCAGGTCAAGCTGTTGTCCACCATCTTAGCTGTAGAGGGCGCCTTGTCACTGGCCCATGTGGGATCCGAACTGGAGGCCCCACTGCTCAGAACTCACGTTCCCAAGCCAACTGTCAACCAATGAGCCATTTGGCCAGCCCAGTTTAACTCTATTTTAATCCTAATCTTCATTTTAGCCATCCATGTACTAACTTCATTACCTCCTTATTAGAATGCCTCATTATTAGAATGTGTCCTGATCTTAATGAGGAACCCCCAATTTATATATAATAATCCTAATCTCAGCTGTATAAATAACACTAACCTTAATTCCACTTTTCAAGTCACTTATGTAATACCTTTTTCTCATGAACACTTCTATCCTCTTTTTCTCACTAACCTGAAAACCTCTATTCTCTTTGCCTGCTTATCAGCTCCCTAACCCCAGAGGCCTTACTGTTCAGGCTCAGTAAAGTCCTTTCTAGACAGGCTCCAAGGAAAAAGCAACAGACAATTCAATGAGTCAGTCTAGTCGAATCTGTTGTAATGAAACCTGATTTGTGGAAAAATTTATTAATATCAGCTTTGGAACTAACTTGTTATTCCAAATTAATTCTATGTTGACATTTATCTGTTGGATACTCTAGGAGGAAATCCAACATAAGATTACTCAATCACAATCCTCAGTGTGTCCAAAGAGCAGAGATGGCCAGAGACATATTTCCAGCATAAGTAACAGTTACACAACTGAGTTGGGAGCAAATAAAAGGCCACAGGAATACAGAATAAAAGAATAAACTGTATGAGCACTTGGGTGGTGTGGAAATCAGGTAATTCTACCTAGAGGTTTGAACCACGGCAGAGGGAACAAAATTGATATGAAATATTTGCCAGTTTACTGTGTGGAAAGAGCTAAAGCAAAGATGATACAGTAGGTTAAAGCTGTGCTTAACTCTTGTCACAACCGCATCAAAATTACAACTAAACTGCAGAACAACTATCATTGAGAATTGCCTGAAATCTTGCTGAACTAAAGCCCTACAACTACAAACATACAGAAGAAGCCACCTCAAGACTGGCAGGAGGGGCAGAGACACGGAATAGGCTGGTCCCACACCCGCATGTGACCGTTAAAAATTGGGAGGGATATCTCAGCTGTGGAGGTCCCTCCTGGAGGAGCAAGGGGTACCACCCCCTTCCTGCCCAGGGTTTCAGTGCCAGGGAGAAAAGTCCCCATACCTTCTGGTTGCAAAAACTAGTGAAGAATGTGGCTGAGTGAGACGGAGGGTGGCTGCACTCCCAGGCACTCCTATTAAAGGGACCACGCCAGACTTACTTACTGATGGAATCACGGATCTGAGCTCCAGAGCTGGGGCAACAGCTGGCAAGGCAGCAGGGACATATGATGGAGAACTGAGTTGTCCAGCCTCAGGAAGAGGGCTGGAGGGGCAGCTTACTCCCAGACAGAGGAGCTGACAAAAGCCATTGTTTCTTAGTTGAGCCTTCCCCCTTCCGAGTGGGCAGACACAGATGGCTGCCATATCTGAGTTTCCATCAAGCTGGCTAAGGCTGTTCATTCACCACACCCTACTGATTCTGAGACCCCACCCTGCCCAATTTCTGACCACACCCAAGTCACTTCTAGTGGCTTTTTCATACAAACCACCTGCCTTGGCTCATGCTGCAGACTTTTCCTAGCATCTCTCAAAGGTTTGTGAAACCCAGACAAGCAGGATTTGACTTGAGCATGTCCCATACTTTTACTGAGCAGTCCGAAGCCTAGCACTAGTGGCAACTGGCCATGGTTCACGGCTTGGCCTCCTGAGGCACTTCCAGGCACAGCACAAGTGGTGACCATCTGCAGATTTCTTTGTGACTCCTGCTGGGTGGCTCCAGGTGGGGCATGGGCTGTAGCTGAACTTGACCTGCACAGGGTCCCCTCCCAGGTGGTGCTGGGGTGGGAATGCCTAGTGGCCAGCTTCCAAATGAGCTGGAGCATCTCCCAGCCACCTCCCAGGTTGACACACCCAAGGGGAAGATTATGCAGGGACCAGAGCCCTGCTCAGGCAGACACTGCTCTGTAGGGTCAGCGCCTACATCACAGCTCCTCCACTGTAGTCACGGTCAGTCCTCACAACCAATGAGCATGATGGTCAATCCCTCCCACAAACATGCAAACAGCAACCAAGACTCAACTACAAGAGGAGGGCACACAAAACCCACACAAGGGACACACCTGAAGCACATGGCTCAGGTAAGAAGGAAAGCTGCACCACTGAGCCCCACAGCACATGTACTACATAAGGCCACTCTTCTAAGACTGGGAGACATAGCAGCCCTACTTAATACATAGAAGCAAACACAGGGAGGCAGCCAAAATGGGAAGAAAATAAAAATGTCCCAAATAAAAAAAATTTTTAAAAACCAACAATAAAACTCTAGAAAAAAGAACTAAATAAAATGGAGACAAGCAATTCACCAGATGCAGAGTTCCAAGCACTGGTTATAAGGATGCTCAATGATCTCAGGAAAAATGTCAACAAAGAGATATGAAACATAAAAATGGAGATAGAAAATATATAAAAGAACCAGAAATAAAGAATATAATAACAGAAATGAAGAATATATTACAGGAAATCAACAGTAGGTTAGATGAAGCAGAGGACTGAATCAGCAATGCTGATGATAAGGTAGCAGAAAACACCCAATCAGAACAACAAAAAGAAAAAAAGACTCAATAAAATGAGGAGAGTTTAAGGGACCTCTGGAACAATATCAAGCATACCAACATTCGCATTATAGGGGTACAAGAAAGAGAAGAGAGAGAGCAAGGAATTGAAAACCTATTTGAAAAAAATAATGATGGAAAACTTCCCTAACCTGGTGAAAAA